ACCCTAAGACCCCTGAAACCCTAAACCCTGAGACCCTGAAACCCTAATCCCTACGACCCTGAACCCTAAACCTAAACCCTGAGACGCTGAGACCCTGAACCCCAAACCCTAAGACCCTGAGAGTGAACCCCAAGCCCTAAGACCCTGAGACCCTGAAGCCTAAACCCTAAACCTTAAGATCCCGAACCCTAAGCCCGAAACCCTACGACCCTGAGACCTAAACAGTACGACCCTGAACCCTCAACCCTAATCCCTAAACGCTGAGACGCTGAACCCTGAGACCCTAAGATCCTGAGAGACCCTAGGACCCTAAACCCTAAGCCCTGAGATCCTAAGACCCTAAACCCTAAACCCTAAACCCTAGGCCCTAAGATCCTAAGACCCTCAACCCTAAAACCCCAAACCTGCTTCGAGTCCCCGAGTCTTGGGCCCTTCGCAGGCCTCAGGCGCACAGCCGGCTCGAGCCTCGGATTGAAAGAGCTGAAAGGGGGCAAGGGTCCACAAGGGCGGTTTTGGGGTTTAGGGGTTTCGGGTTTAGGGTTTAGGGTTCACGATTTAGGGTTTAGGGTTCACGGTTTAAGGTTTAGGGTTTAGGGTTTAGGGTTCACGGTTTAGGGTTTAGGGGTCTTCATAACCAACATCTCGTGCTGAATCTGGGGTCTACGACAGAGAGCCCCAAAGAATGGTATTGGTGGCAATTCAGGCTTCTACAGCAGGGGTATTGGCAGCAATATTACATCATGTGTTATATGATATGCATTATATTAGATATATTATATTTCATTATCGCTTGCATTATAATAATGGGGTTTAAGGGTGAGGTGCTTGGGGCCTGTCGTGTGGGAAACAACTCATGTGCTAGGTGTTGCAGGCTTCGTGGGCTCAGGGTTCTATTCTAGGTCCTGAGTATTACGCATCAGTATGATCAGGAAAGACCCCTGTACCCATATGGTACCCTTAACAGTACAGACCCCAGTAGTTCGACTTCGAGCGAATATTCTTATTGCAGTAGTTCGCGCTCTCCCCCCAGGGTTGAGTGTCCGTACCAGGGCTCACTAGAGATGTGTTGAAGCTGGTGAGGTACTGTCAGGATTGAGATTGGTTTGACATTTTTCTCCTTTACGGGATGGAGATTTCATTTCCCAGAAAGAGCGACCTGACTTTTTATGGAGAGGGGAGTTGGGCCCTACCTGTGCTCCGAGCCACGATGACAGAAGCGCGTCGCAGCCATGATGCGCGCACCAGGGAGACGCCCGGTGCGGAAAAAAAATAAAGACCGCTTCAGATGTTTGAGGGGGTTTTGGGGGGAGTGGTATGTCGGGGTCAGTTTTTGTTCAAGAGAATCGCTGACTTGCTTACTTCCTCAGGATACTTCACTTGTACAATGTCTGACTTGGTTCTGCGTGCACTCCCCTAAACTTGTCGGCATGGGATGCGGAGGGCGGCTCATGCGCAATCCACACCAACTGAGTGCCCACCTGCACCCCTTCCCGCTTGCGGTGACCCGATTTCTCCACAACATGTTGCAATTCACAGCAGACTAAGTTCCACGAAGCTTTGCTTGCCGATGCTCCGCTTTGTGGAGATGGCTGCTCTAGGGACTCTAGAGGCTGCTGCTCTATATAGGATGCGGAGACGATGATCCTACGAGAGATTGAAAAGACAGCTTCAAGAACGCAAGCGGCGGCTCATTCGTGCGACATTGGAGCCTGTGCAGGAGGACCGGACGCTTTCCGAAACCTACGGCAACACCAAACTGACGCACGCCGAATCCATAAAACCGTAAGTCCCAGACCCTTGAACCTAGAATTCTACTAAGATCTGCTGTGTCAAGCCCGAGTTTTGGCTTCTCCAGATGCTCCGGCGCCCGCAGCATGAGAGCACCAGTGATGCACATCCTATACGCTATATCCCACTATACACCCTATATACCCTATTCCTTTTATGCCGTACCCTCTATCAGGTATGGGTAGCTAAACCACACCTTTCGGTTCTTCAACCCTAAACCCCAAACCCTAAACCCTAAACCGTACCTTTCGGTTCTTTGAGGAGTCCTGCTGTCCCATCCAGATGCTTCCCCCGCGGCCTCCGACTTCGTTCAAGGCTTCGGCTTAAAATCCGTCGGCGGCAGGGCACCTGCGGCAGTTTTGGGGTTTTGGGATTTGGGATTTAGCGTTCAGGGATTTAGGGTTTAGGGATTTAGGGTTTTGGGATTAAGGGATTTAGGGTTTTGGGATTTAGGGTTTTGGGGTTTAGGGATGGTTTGCAGGAATCCTGGCAGGCCATCAACAGGGCCACAAGCTTCCAGCCAAAGGACCTCGGTGAGCAGTCACACCCTGGACCGCGCTTCCCAAGCATCTCATCAAGAATGCATCGGGCCTTTGGTGTGCGCGGGCTCGGGTGAATTTGGTGTTTGACTTCTTGGGCTTTTGGGTTCCGGGTTGGCTTTTTTGAAGAGACAAGAGAGCTCCCTAAACCCTAAACCCCAAACCCTAAACCCTAATATAGCTCAGAATACCAGAACCTTGCCTGAGTCGTTCAACTCTGGAAAATAACTCGTTGGCAGAGGCTTCGCTGCACACTTCCCGTTTTTCACGGTCAAAACAGCCATGTTTAGGGTTTAGGGTTTAGGGGTTTAGGGTTTTGGGGTTTGGGAACACCGGACCCAAGCAACACACACTTAGCTAGCTGGAACAGCTTCCTGGATCTGCCCTAAACCCCCGAACTAAACCGACATAAGTGGGAGTTAGGATTAGGGTGACCCTTGGGGATATAGACCCTCTCAATAAGGTCACCTTTAAGAGAGCCACAAGTAGGGTTCAGAAGGGTCCCCTTTAAGGGGTCTCTTCTAATACTACCTAGGAATAAGAGGCCCCTGATCTCAGGTCCTGAATCTCCGGTCTATGATAGGAATACGCAGCAAGCAAACTGGCATTATGCTTGCCTCTTCATGGCAACCTATAGCAACGCGCCCCCTCATGTTAGCCCTTAAACCTAAGCCCTAAATCCTAAACCCTAAAGCCTAAAGCCGTAAACCCTAAATCCTAAACCCTAAGCCCCTAAGCCCCTAAACCAAAAACCCTTCCAGAAGACAACTGTTGGTCCATGGTGGCCGTGACGACATGACTTTGCGGAACATAACATAATGTATTGTCACATGACATAGCATAACATCAGGTATAACGCTTTAGGGCTTGAGGGGGGTGTAGGGGTTTACGGCTTTAGGGTTTAGAGTTTAGGGTTTTGGGCTTTAGGCCTTTAGGTTTCAGGGCTTCAGGGCTTTAGGGTGTAGGGCTTTGGCTCAGGGTGCTGAAGTCTGGACGTCCACATGCGGATTTCTTGTCTAGTGCCACTAGCTACGACCATACACCTTGCCGCTTTCTCAGACAAAGGTTATGAGTGAAGAGTGGACCTCAGCACTACATGAAAAATGCACTCAAAGCCGACATGGCAACAAAAAAAAAAACGTGATTTGGAGCCGCTGCTGCCCGAATCAGGAGAGCTCCACACTCGTTGCAGCACGAAAATCTCTGAACACAGCCTGCCGCTGAAAAGCAGGGGCCGTTTCCAAAAGCCGGAGGCAACGCTAGCCGAAAGTTTCACACAAATTTCACAAGAAGGCATCATGCAAAGAACCAGCAAAGGTCCTGCGCAGTATTTGGCAAGACCTACCTTGGCAAACGCACGGACTGTACAGGCAGAGACTCGAAAGAACACTCTTGGACGGTGTCAATTGGCTATGCCAGGCCCAGTTTGGATCGAAAGAAGGATGCCACCAGCTGCCATGCCGCTGCAAGAGGCGATCCATCCAGCTCCTCCAAGATGTCGATGTTGAGCCTCTGGAGGACTTCTTACAGGGTTTAGGGTGTAGGGTTTAGTTAGGGTTTAGGGTTTAGGGTTTAGGGTTTAGGGGTTTAGTTAGGGTCTAGGGTTTAGGGTTTAGGGGTTTAGGGGTTTAGGGTTTCGGGTTCAGGGGTCCTTGTAATAAAGATCCGAAGATTTCGGGGTCTATGTAGAGGTCCACAATGGGGGGGTTCCCTCCAGCTGCTTATGCCGGCCCTACCCCTAAACCCTAACCCCAGAACCCTTAAGCTTCTGAAAGTCCCTAAACCCGAAACCCTAAACCCTAAACCCCTAAATCCTAAACCCTAAACCCCAACGGAGCCTGAAAACCAAGTTCGCCTCCTCGACGATAGCCTCCTTCAACTCCGGGCTCAGCGGCAAGCTATTGAGCTCCCAGTACCACTCTGTGATGAAGGCTTTCCTGAGATTCTCGGCTCCGGAACTTCGTTTCAGCTACCATCATGGGGATAGACACGGCAGCTTGCATGCTTTATCTTCCAGGACCCTCCAAGTACCCTCAAATAGGGGTATATGGTCCCAAATTAAGGGTATTTAGGGTCTAATAGAGGGTAGATGGAGGGTCCAGGTTACTATGGTAACTTCAACAGAATGATCCCAGATTCGTATCCGGAATCTGGGGAAAGCGGTAGAATGAGGTGCCCTTGCCGTCTTCCAGGCCCAGGGAACTCTCAGCCATGCCGCCCATCATCTGGCCACCGAACAAGTCACCCAGGTACCTTTGCAGACAAGAAGTCCTACACCACGACAAGTCCCAAACCCCAAGTCCTGAACCCTGCAAATCCCCAAAACAGCCTTAAAGCCCCAAGCCCAAGCCCAAGCCCGAAGCTCGCCTTAACCTAACTAAGCCCTTCGGAAACTACACCCCTCCCCCGGTGCCTTGTATACTGGTGGGCGATCAGAAGCTGCGGATTCTCGGCCGCGACCGCGCGAATGCGCTCGCAGTAGCGCTCCGCCGCCGGAGAGGGTCGAAGCTGCTCGCGCCAGCTGGGGCCGTAAAAATAAGCTAGGTCCTCATTATGGGTTCAAGAAAACCCAACTAGAGCTTTGGGAATAATTCATAATTACCCCAGAACCGAAAAACCTGTAGTTGTTGGGCTGCTCTAGAACCGGGAAGAGTCCTCCTCGATCGCCGCGACGCGTCGCAGCTCCTGGAAGTCTAAATGCCGAACGCCGGCATCTGCAGAGGTCTGGAACGACGCTTCCATGGCCTGGTAGATAAAATAGAGCGATGTCACCAGCTGCGCGAAGGAATCACGGTTCCCCAGGCCTTTGAAGAAGCCCGTCACGAACTGAGTGTTCTCCGCCATGCTGTGGCTCTTACGTGTGCCTTCGTCCAGCATCAATGCCAGCCCATGCTTCCTGGGATTCTCCTCCTCCACCTCAGCTGCTTTAGCCTCCGTGGCGGGTCTCTCCACCACCTGGGTCTCCGCATGCATCGCGGGCCATCTCCCGACCCCCTTCGCGGCACTGGAGGCCCGAGCCCCGGCCGTGAAAGCCTCTGAAGTCGCCAGAGCCAGGAGCACCGACGCCAGCGCCGCGCCCAGGCCGCTCTTCCGGGCGCCGGGGAGCCGCTTCGGGGAGCCAAGGGCGGAAGGCATCGCGGCCCAAGGGCTGCAGTGAGACCCCTCTCGGCCCTACTACCCACTCCTTCTGGTGCCAAGCTGAGCAGCAACAGGACCAGGCTTCCAAGTTTTGTGGTGGACGGGACCGAGAAGAAAGCTTAGCAGGGAGACAGAAGCCCTGACTTTGTGGGACATGGGCAAGGGGCTAAACCCTAAACCCTAAGCCTTCTCAAGTTATGCACCGCTGTGCTTGCACGGAGGTTTTGCAAATCTCGTGACAGTTCTGGGCTCGACCGTGAAGTTGACACCTCAGACGAGCCGAGGCGAGGCCTAGGAAACCAGCTTTTTTAAAGGCTTTAAGGCTACGATAGACCAGAATATTATACAAGGCATTCTATGTAATATATGCAAAAGAAGTCTGGAATATGCTGTACTATGTAAATTCATCTAGCAGTATGCCAAGAAGGCTTCGGGCTTCAGCTTCCAGAGATCGGGGTACCGGCACTCACCACCCAGGGGTCGGGCTCAGACCCGGAACCCCGAAAATTCCCACAACCGAGCACCTTGGCCCAAGCGCCAAGTCGTCTTCAGCGCACCATGGGGACGGCCAGCGTGCACAGAAACGGCATGTTGCGGGAAGCTTGCGGATGAGAGGCACAGTACTTGCTTGGGGTCCTGCCCCGTGCTTACGCAGCCTAAGGTCTATGAGACACTTGGCGTACACACATTTTGTCTGTCTCTCTTTTCGATTCCCCCTGGTTTCGCTGCTCCTTTGTGCCAAAAAAGGACAAGGAGAAGCCCAAGCCCTGGGCCTGCAATGGAGTTCAACAAAGGGCCCCTCTTCTGTTTGGACCTCTGCGGCCATGGGAGGGCAGAAGAACCCAGCTTTGCTGGGGCTTTAGTGCTTTTGAGGTTGACCTGTCGTGGGGGGGGGGGGGGGGGGNNTCTTAAGGTGTTGCATACTTCTGAAAACTGCGAAGGCAAGACGAAGAGAAGAACCACCGTCCTCAACGTCCCAAAAACCAAGCTCTCTGTGCGATCCACAAAGACTCCCCTTTGAAAGAAATACCTTCTGGCGCGGCGATTTGCACATGTATGATTCGGACTTTAGGATTGGAGGGGACGAAGCTGTTTGGGTGAAGCGGCCGCCTACGCAAAGTCTTTGGCAGTGGCAACTTGGCACATTCAATGTCAAGACGAAGCCCATGAATGCCTCATCAATCTAGAGTTTGATGATAAGCGGCTATGTTGAAGAGCACGATGGCAATGCAGGTTTTTTTCAATCGAAAGGCTTTCATACAGAACCCGTGGACCCACATTCCTGCATCCACGGGCCTTGCTGCATGTCCATGACATGCTCTCTATGAAACCCTTCGGGCCGAAGCGTATATGAGGCGGAGCCATGATGAATACGACTGTCGGGCTGGCTTAGCCAGACAGCTGCATCAATACCAGCTCCGACTTGATTTCAAGTCTCACTCATAGAGTAAGACGTATTCTGGATAGGCTGCGGAATTGTCAAACACAACAAACTCCATGTGCGTCTGCCATGAATCGTTGTGGTGTCCTGCCATTGGGCCCGGGCGAGCGATGACTGAATCCGTTCCATCGGGTGGGCGCTCGAACCGATTGCGGCATCTTGTTGGATAATGTGGGTTTCCCAGCCAGACACGTGAGATGATAATGCAATTGAGCGACAAGTTGTAGCCGCCAGTGTACTGGTGACTCTTGCAAGCTTGGCTTGCAAAGTAAGTCCCCCTGCCATAGAACCCACTGTCCTTCGCGACTCTGAAATCGAATCCATTACACGCAATGTTCCTGGCAGTGTCAAACGAAGTTCCATGAAACAGAAGGCACTCATTGCAGCCAGTACTCCCAGGAGTTTGCGTAGATGAGTGGAAATCACGCAATGCCGCACCAAGCGGTGGATGTATGGGCTCAGACACGACATTTTGCTCTGCATGCCTGTGTTGCAACTCCTTCATGTATGCCATGAACTTCTGCAGCAGCCGAAAGTTCTGAATCTGAAAAGCTTGTTTCACCTCGAAGCTTGTCTTACAGCCAGAAACAGAAGGCTGGCTTGGATTGCTGTGGTGACGTGCTGTCGACGCTGTCAAAAGGTCACTGAATTGCTTCAATTTCTTCATGTCCCTGATCTCCACGAAGAAGCTTTCAAAGCTGCTTGACGCGGGTCCAGCAGAAGATGCGGCACGACGTTGTCGGAGCAGCATCTCCTCGTCTGTAATGGACCAATGCTGTGGAATTCCAAAGGAGCACGAGATCTTGCGCGCTCGGCCTGCCGAGCTCGTTTGCACTCTCCTCTCGAAATCCAGCTTCCGGCCAGAGGAGATAACCACGCTCGGGTGCCCCGCCCGGTACGCGGTCATCGCAGCGTGGTTGTCCTCCTGGCCGAAGCACACCTGGGCAACAGGGAAGTCTGTCACATCAGCGATATCGTCAAATACCATTTCCCCGCGAAAAAACGTAATAAGCACCTGCTCGATCACAAGGTCCTTCTGTTCTGATAGCGGAATAGAAACTTGATAGAAACCCTCCAACATTTAATTTGGCATGAAACATTCATGTAAACGTATTACTGGTACATATATATCTATACATACGTACATACATGCACACATACATACACATACACATACACATACACATACGCATACACATACACCTACACATAGACATAGACACAGACATAGACATAGACATAGACATAGGCATAGACACAGACATAGACATAGACATAGACATGGACATAGACACAGCCACAGACATAGACATACATATATACATAAACATATACACATAGGTATACATATACATATACATACACATACACATACACGGACACGGACACAGACACACACATACAGACGTTCCTCCATACACACATGCATACGTAGATACATACGTACACACCACATACATACGTACATACATACATACATACAAACAAATGTGGCATGGCATAGCATGACATGACATGACATGACTACATACATACCTGCACCGACATACCTTGCCTGCATGCCTGCCTACGTTCGTACATACATAAGACATATATACATACGTACGTCCATGCAAGCATGCATGCATGCACACATACATGCCCACCTGCCTCTGCGCGTGCGTGCGTGCGTACGTACATACATACATACATACATCCATCCATCCATCCATACATACATACATACATGCGATTGCATGCCTACCTACCTACCTACCTACCTACCTACCTACCCACCTACCTTTGCTAGAAAGACGATGAATGACTGAATAGCGGCATCAGTGCAAATGCATGCTGTTTCCTGTACAGCCATTTTTGCAAACAGCATCCTTAAAGAGCCACGAGTAAGGTCTGATACTTGGGCTAGGCTGTTTTGAAATGCAGCTATGATACTCCCGTGTCCTTTGCAAGTGCAAAGTACTAGCCGCACAACAAAGAGTTCAATAGTCAGCCTCTGATGGTTGCAGCCGCTTTTTCTTGCTTTGGCTATTTTGGATCAGCCGGCTTCTGTATCTTCACAGCAGGCTTGCCCTGAGAACGAAGCAGTTCGGTTTTTTGTAACTATCACCTTACCATGCCTGGTAGACTTATTATGACTGCAACGGTTACTCATTCCTACTCTCTTCTAGCCGCTGTGGTCAGCTCTTAGGCAGGAACATGACTTGGCCACATTATTGAAACTGAAAAATTGTGAAAAGCCAGTTCTATGGCAATGTGAGTTCTGCATGGAGAGGTCTCAGGGCACCTTTACTGAAGCGTGAAAGGCGAGTGAGGCAATGCACTGAAAACTCCAATAACTGAAGTTTGTTGATAAACCACAAACTCTAGAGCTACAAACCCTAGCCTCAAACTGTTCGACGAAGTGAACGCGGCACCTTATAATATGAGCTGTATAATGGTCCGGACAAATCCTCATTCCGAGAAATCCATACGGTGACCCCATCGTCAAGAATGTCTGGTGTGGCCTGAAAATAGAACCCTAATCCCTAAACTCAAACAGCTAAGCCCAGCTAAGCCCCTCAGAAGCCCCCGTCATGGCTGCTCTGACTGAGGTTCCCACTGGCTGGCCCTGGTCGTTCTCAAACTTCCACCTGATGTCTCGGTAGTGATACTACTGTTGATGATAGAAATCCTGCGTTAGCTTAGGGACCCTAAACTATGGGAATTATGGTACATTCCTTATTATGTGGAATGCAGGATTTCTCTCATCAACTGTAGTAGTCGCAGCAGTAGCATTGGTATTAGTAATAGAAGTCGTCGTCGTCATCGTCGTTATCGTCGTGGTTGTCGTCGCCGGCGTCCTCCTTGCTGAGGCCATCGTCACTATCAGACTCCAAAGAGTATACAGAAGCTATTCCTGGTTCATGCAAGTGCTGGTGTGGCTGAAAAGGACCAATGAGTGCCGGAGCCTAGCATTCTGTGCCAAGACCAGCCGAGAAACTCATAATCGCCATAGATGGTGGGGACTTCCTGTGCTTGCACCTCGCAGGACTAAGCATGGTCATGTCTGCACCAGGTGCCAAGCAAAGGCTGCGAAGTTGGGATTTAGGGCCTACAGGGCCTACCAGCGTTTCGGGGCTTAGGCTTAAAGCAACTTCACCGCTCCAACTTGCCCGGTCAACGAATCAATGTTATAGTATCATATATCCCACTGAACCCTAAACCCTAAACCCTAAACACAAAGCCCTATACCCCTATACTACAAAACACTTATGGGCCTGTGCCAGCACGACTTCCTTCTCGCGCAGCATCTCCTCAAGATTGGACTGCCTGGCAGGCAGTACTCCGGGAAACTGTCTTCGGCACTCTGCGGAACAAATCCGATCCTAGGATCTGCGATCTGCCTAGCGCTTCTAGACACACTCTTACGGCAATGCCTCTGTTCGGGATCGCTATGATGATTTTAGCTTTCTCGTTCAGCTGTTCATGCATGGCCTCTGCTGCAGCTTTTGAACGGCTTCTTGCTTCACGGACCTTTCGTTTTCAAGCTCTTCCAAGCCCACCTCAAGCTGGCTCCTTTGTAACTGAAGGTCTCGGTGCCGCTGTCTTAGGGCGGTTAGGTCGCCCTCCAAACTCCGCTTCTTTTCCTCCAATGCCGTCTCTCGCTCTTGGATCTCTTCGGCTTTTTTGGACAGCGCACTTTGCCTGCCTTGAACTTCCGTCGCCTGCTGTTGGATCCGCTCCTCTTTCTGGGACAGGGACGCCCTCTCTCGCGCCAGATCGCCGTGCGCCTTCTCCTTCGTGGACTTGAGAGCGCGCAGCTGGTTCTCAAGCTGCTGCTTTGCCCGTGCCGCCTTTTCGCTCTTCTGGGAGGCTGCCTTTAGCTTTCCTGTAGAACCGGAAAGCTCTTCATGAGCACAGAACACGCTCAGCAAGCAATTCCGGCCTTGTAGCTGGGCAAGCTCAGCCTTCAGCCGTTGGTTCTCGGCTTCTGACATCGCCTGCTTCGCCTTGAGGTTCGCAAGCCTCACACGTGCACTTGCAGCTTGCACGACGCAGTTCAAGGTCTCAAGGGAAGATCGCTGCGGATGAGTCACCGGGCATCGGCTTTTGTGTGAACCGGTGCAGTCTGCGAAGGACGCTCTGCCGCAGGCACCTTCGGCGGAATGCCTTGATGAGACTGCTGGGCCGCTGATGCATCCACTGCCAGGGCCAGGGATTCCGCCATGTACCAGTGCTCCACACCTCGGTGGAACACCCGATATGGCCGATCCGTGCCATCATTCTCCCTCAGCAGTGCGACGTCATGAGCCTTGAGAGGCCCAGCTCGGTCGTCTTCGTCAAGAACCGGAAGCGACAGCCTTACCAAGGCGCCCACCGGCAGCGCCTCCGGTACATGCGTGGTCCCGCAGAGCCTGAGGGTCTCCAGGTCGTGCCGCTGGAAGACGCCTGCGCCGCTGGAGCTTGCGGGGCGAAACCAGAGCGCGACAGAGCCGTCCTCCGGCGATTGGTGAACCCCGACGGCCACGAAGCGCTTACCATCTGGAGTGCAAACCATCTCGCCGTGTCGGAAGCCTCCCAGCAGCTTACAGATCTCATCACGAATGTCAAACTGCGCAAATTTCGCGGGGTCGTGTAGGCTGCAGGTGTGCCGGAATGTCTCGTGCAACCAATGTGCATGTTCGCTGGGCGAGCGCCCGTCTGCATGTCCACCGGCTGGGACGCTGCAGATCTGCTCTAGCTTTCTGAGCTGCTGCTTGCGAACAGGCGCGGCACCCTCGTTACCCTCCACATGGCACCACAGCCATGGCTCTCCATCCCATTCCTTTACTCCGATAACTGTGGCCACCTTACCTCGCTCGGTCAGCACCATGTCCCCGTGCTTGCACCCGAAGTGGCCAACTTCAGCGAGGCTGACATCAAACATCTCCGGCCGCGACTCCTCCTCCCCGGCCGGATAAGTAAAACTATTGTTTAGCTTCGCGGGGGCCGTGAGGCACTCGACCGGCAAAAGCTGAACCCTGCCCTTGCTGCACCACATCTCGGAAGGCTTCCACGGCAGAAGCCGGGCAAAATCCTCGCCATCCTTCTGCGCCCACAAGCCCACACTGCCGTCCTCGGAGTCTTTCTGAACACCGACCACGGTGTAGGAATCACCATAAGCATTTTCGATGACCTGGCCATGCGTGAATTTGTCGACCTTCAGGCACGCTTCGCCACGCGCGTCGAAGAGGCCGAGGACCAGCTGATTGCGGAGCATCTGCCTCGGCCAAGAGAAGGGTCGGACGTGGTGTAGCTACGCTATTCTGTGAGCTCTCGTCGTACTCTTCATGCCCAAAGTGCTGGGCTCCAGGAACAGAAAGCAATGGCTCTGGCAGATGCCACAACAACAGGATTCTGTAAAAGCACTATGGACACGCATAAGCTAAAATTGTGGCATGCCCCCGCCCCCTCCCCCTGCGTGGCAAACCGACATGATCTGTAGTCTGAGGCTCTTGAACTTGAAGCTGTGCTCCAGCCACTCGCACAAGCGGCTGGGAGCAAGCCCATCCGGATCTTCCGCAAGTGGCACAGTCATGCGGCTCACCAAACGAAGCCTGACGGTGGCAAACAAGTGAAAACCTCAAAAATTCGAGTACTGCCTCTATTCCTCAACCCTCCAGACCCAGACCTCCGGCCCTGAAGCGCTCCCTTCCGTCACCCCAAAAGCCCCAAGTCCTACCCGGCACGGCCTCGGGGAGTTCTGGTTTATTGAACCCAAAACCCTCTTTACGACTCCCTTGGTTAAGGGATGAGGGCCTGGCTTTTATGGTTGTGGGTCTAGGGACTCGTGTACGTCTTACAAGACCAAAAGCCGCCCGGAAACTGCTCGCCAGCCGCGGCCGCGGCAGTTGTGCTGGATCCCTCGATGTGGTACCACCTGCAGCAGCTTCAGGCTTAGGGTTCGGGGATGTTCGGGGCGGGTTCAGGGTTTAGCACAACTTGCGGCTGGACGGCAATCGAATTCTTGCATAGCCACCTTCCCCTAAGCCCTAAAAGAGCATCCAAGAAAGGCATGAGCGAGGTTGCCTTCAACCCAACACTTCAACACCACGAACCGACCCCGAATCCCAAACCGATCTAAACAAGGACAGGGAGCAAGCGACGCTCCCCAGACTCGTCCGATTTCACGCCGACCACCGTGGCAACTTGTCCTGACAGCCACCCGAGCGAGACTGGGCAATTTTTAACATGAAGAAACCGCTGCCCTGACCGTCCTTTCTCGGTGAGAACGACGTCTCCATGTCGCGCTCCGCCGACATCGTCGCAGGCTTCAGGCCGGACGTCGTAGAGATCACCAAGATACACAAACGTCAGCCGCACTTCCTCGCGGAACGCTGCTCTGAAGGATGACGTCAGCCAAGATGGACGAAGTAAGCTCTCGTCTGAACTGAATTCGAGTATGCCCTTAATCCAAAATCCTGGTTTCCTCCGGCAAGCAACTGTCAGGTCAGGTCCTGGTCCACTCCGCCGGTGATCTCCAGCAGCTCTCTCTGCTCTCGCGCTCGACAAAGAAGACTTTGTAAGCCCTCCTTCTCACTGTCACTGTCATCTGGGTCGACCCTGGGCATCATGCCTTCTTGGGCCACACAGCTGCTTGAACATAAGCCGCTCAAGATCGAACACAAGTTGAGAGCATGGTCGTAAGGGTGCAGATGACACAGCTCCAGTCGAATGACACTTTTGGCTGGCTCGGCCCCTCTTAAAAATTATATGACAACGAAAAGACTTGGACTGCCTTCGCGGACTACGGCGCGCCCCACAAGCTCTGATTTCTGTAGGAAAGGATAATCCAAAGGGTGTGAATGTCCCGACAGGTCCGATGGAAAGGGCAGCATGCACAGTAGCAGTGCATCCGCGGGATGGTGTGTAATCCGACTTCCGTCAGGACCGCGCATCTTGGAGTCACGCAAGACGACAAGCGGCTCGCCAAGCGCCGCACTACAGTGCCACAGACTGAAGGCGTGCTTGCTTCCACAAGCAGCTTCAGGAATCTTAATCTTACTCTATCTTATCTCTCTGTGCGTGCCAAAACTCCGACAATGAGTCATTTCATACTCAGCTTCGCGATGATTCTGCAGACCTGCCCACGATCCTCTGTACAAACTTTGCATCCAAGTTTGACTTCAGGATTCAGGCAGATGCAGCGAAGTGCGAAGCCAGCCTTCGCACGCCTCGGCTTGGCAGGAGCAACCAGGGACGAAGACCGCACACGCACCGCGTGCTGGCAAGAAACGTCGGCTTCCTTACTGTGACCTGCTGCAGAAGAAGAAGTCTTGACCAAGGAAACAAGCGAAGCAAGCAAACTCTCAGCGTGCAGAGCATGGCAGGGTGCTGAGGCCTGCAAGCTGGAAGGCCTCCCGGGCTTTGACCACGGCCTCTTCTGCTTGAGCGGTGTCAAGCTCGCGGATGGCCTTGCAGGACCTTCCGTGGCCATCGTCAGACCAGGTCTCACAATCGCAAGCCTTTTCCAAATCCTACACTGTGCAGACGAGTTTCCAACAGCGGCCGGCATGTGAGAGGAGCGAAATCCTCTTTGCCTAAGCAAAGTGGCTGACGGGTTTAGGGTCTACGGCTTCGGAAGCTTAGGGCTGACAGGCAGATACAGGCAGGCTCGAGGCTCCGACTACATCCTCCGAAGCGAGGTACAGTACCCAGGGATACCCAGTGCGATCTCCATTCTGACACGCCTTTCTAACTCAATCGTTCGTTTTGATGGGATAGTGAGTCAATCAGTTGTTACAGCCAAGATGATCTGTGCTGAATCAGCGCACACGGACACACTCTGCTCACTTTCAAGATTTGCCAACTTGCAGCCACGCGGCCAGAACAAGCTGCCGACGAGCACTCTTACTCCACAAGTACGCGAACTCGGCACAAAGCCCATCCTGTGCCATGGATCCACCATCCACCGCATCGAGGGCATCTTTGCAGCTCGCCGCTCCTCTGCAGAAAGCCTCGGCCGCCTTATGAAACTCGCCGGCCGCAAGGAACCCTCGGGCTGCACTCTCGTAGGCCTCCACCCGGTGGTCGCTCATTTTTGCCAGGGCTTCGAACTTCCCGAGCACCTCGCTGACGGATGGCCTGAGCTGGCGGAACATCGTCCTCAGCCTTTGCATCGCGTCTTTATGGACCTTCGGGTTCTTGTAGTAGGACTGAAGACGCTCCTTCCATTTTTGGAGCCGCTCCTGCCTTCTCTCGAAAATGTCTTTCTGTTCCTTCGTGCCTGGGCTGACACAAACGAAGTCCTACCCGGATCAAGGTGATCATGATAACGACGACGACGACGAGGATGATGATGATGACGATGATGACGATGCAGTGCCGATGAGGACCAGGAGGAGGAGGAGGAGGAGGAGGACTATTATGATGATGACGATGACGATGACGATGACGATGACGATGATGATGGTGTTGATTATGATGATGATGGTGATGATGGTGATGATGATGATGAGGAGGAGGAGGAGGATGACGATGACTATGATGATGATCATGATGATGATTATGATGATGACGCTGACGAGGCTGATGGTGATGGTGGTGATGACGGTTATGATGGGAATGGTGATGCTGGTGGCGATGGTGATGATGATGATGATCGACCGTTTCATGATCGAAGGCGCCTTGTCTAGGGGACAACACTCCGTCTGATGAACGATACCGCTGCAAGGGACCGTCAATCCCAAACCCTAAAGCCATGAATAACCCCTAGCCATAAACCCTACACCCTCTACTGCAAGAAACAGCCAGACTTGGAACCGGGCTTTTCTGGGCCCTGCTTAATGCCTTCTGTAACTCCTCGATCTTCCTGGGAAGGCTGTGTTCAGTGTTTCAGGCTTAGGGTTTAGGGGCTTAGGCTTTGGCTTAGGGGCTAAAGTACTTGCGGGTTTCAGAAATAATTGGTTCGGCGGTTAAGTTCGGGTTCTGGGGGAGAGAGGCATGAGGGCGGAAAAGCTCTCAAGAGCAGCTTTCACCCCAATGAACCCATCAGACGGACGGCTCCAGGGTTAGGGTTTACTTTGAACTACCATAACCTACTTTTTAGTATGTTCTTATCATAGACCCTTTAAAAAAATTATAGGGACCCTAGAAAAAAGTAGGTTTTGGTAGTTTAAGGTAGGGTTTAGGGTTCCTAAACCGGAGGAAATGAATCCTAGTTCCTAGGCTCTGGCTCAAAGCGCAGCAGTTGTCGAGGACCACTTGGGACTCCGTCAGAAGCCGCTCTGACTCCTCTGTATCCAACAATGTCCATACGGTGCCGTCGGGAAACCACAACCTTTGGGGTCTAGGGTGTAGGGTTTAGGGTTTTGGGTTTCATCAGAGCTCAGGAATTACAAGTTGTCTCAAAGCAGGCCTTTCTCCGGAAACAGGACTGGGGACAACGGTTTGCTCTTGAAACCTCGCGACCCTTGACCAGATCCTACATGATGTTGCAGGCAATGTATTGAAGAGCTCAGAATCGGAACGGACATTTTGACAACCGTCCACCTGTCAGGACTGCCACGCGAGCGTTCCAAAGTAGCGACTTCTCTGCGAACGATCTCCAGGTGGTCGCCCGAGAACTTCTCCACACGATCTCTCGGCTGTCCCGGCAGAGAATTGCTTGCTGCCTGTCCCGGAGGAATCTGCTTCATCTTGGAGAACCAGTAGGACGAACACTGCTCCTTGGAAAAATCTTCTCTGTACCTTGGGCCAAGACAAACGTGAATCACGCACAGTGCGCGACGATGCGCAGCCCAGTCGCTTCCCCAACACCTGCTTGAAGGACATCTCCTCTCCGCTTTGAGGGTCGACTCGCAGATCTGGCCTCCAAGCTTCCAGCTTGCTTTCTTGACCTGGGTTGCAAGTTTTCGTGTTTTGAGTTATCAGGCTTTAGGAAGCTTGGGTTTAGGGCCATGTTCTGGTGGCTTGCAGCGTGCTAGATGCAGCCTAGCTGAGGCAACGACCCGGTGGGCAAAGCCATTCTTCCTCCTCTTCAAACTTCCCGTTCGTCTTTTCCACTCGGCGTCTGCAGGTCCGTTCAAAAAGCTTCTTTTCTTCGAGAGACTTCATCTCCGATTCAGGAAGCTGGTGGATGCGGTAGGCCGTTTTGTCCACTTGAACAAGCTTGCTCCACCGACGTCTGCACTTGCTGATTGACTCCCATTCATGGTACCTTCACAAGATCTCTCCCTCTCTTTCTCGCTCTTTTTCTTTCCCTCTCGTATTTCTTCTACTTGGGCTGGAAGGAAGCGGTCACCTCTCTCGTCCAGGTCTATCTGGCTCTGGCTCTGGCCCTCTCTCTCTCTCTCTCTCTACAAGGTGGGAGCCCCAGGGTGGTCCGACCCTGAAGCCCGCGCGCGAACGCGCACCCACGGTCCCCGGGTGTCTAACGCATCCCCATACAGATATGCTGTATGGGGCTCTCTCTCTCTCTCTCTCTGTCCCTCCCTCTCTCTCTGTCGCTCTATCCCACTCTCGCTCTCATTCTCAGTCTCATTCCCGTTCCCTTTCACACACTCGATCAACACCCTTCTTTCCTTTGCGGCTTGAGCTCGTCGTAGCCAAGGTGCTTAGACAACAGAGTGGACCAAGTCAGCTCTTGACCTCCCGAGTCTCTCCTGACTTCTTCCAGCCACATGCCAGCACCTCTCAGGGTTTACGGCGGCTGGGGGGGGGGGTCGAGGGCTTATGGGTTTAGGAATGCTGAAGAACAAGAGGGATGCCATCAAGCAAGGCGCCTGGGTCCTTCTTGGCTAGTTGTTGGTTCCACTTCCGAAAGCGAAGATCTGCCTCCTCGAGCTGTCTGTTGACTTCCAACTGGTACCCTCGGGCAGTCAAAACATGCAGTCGTCTAGGGTCTGCATCGGGCTCTAGGGCTTAAGCCCTTTTTTTCAAACCTGGGGGAAGCCCATGGCCCGAAGCGGAAGAAACCACCCGGAGATCACAAAACAAAGGTCGAGCGACTTCTTGAGAGTTCAAGCATCCTTTGCTTGACCGCCTCTGTTTCATCCGTAAGCTTTGCCTCTTCCTTCTTCTGAGCATCCAGCATGCGCTTAGCATCGTTGCGCTCATTCGCCAGCTTTGGCATGCCAGCTTCTATGAGCCGGATGAGAGAGGGCAACACTTTCCGGCGAAGCCTCGCCACAGCAGCGGCCTGCTGAGATGGCAAGTATTACTTGCCAATCTGTCGGTGAAGACCAAAGAGTTTAGGGTTTAGGCTTTCAGGCTTTATGGGATGCCAGCATGCTGGAGGCACTTCAAGAACCCTGCCTTCTTGGCTTTCTCATACTCCTTCAAGGACTTTGCCCTCCGCTCCAAGACGGCACCGAGTGCCTCGAACGTCTGCCGATAACGGCCCTGCTGCTCAGCGTCATACTGAGGAGCGATGACGTAGATGTGGGCCTGTGCCTTTGCCAGACACTTCTGCAGCCGTCTCCTTAGAAACTGTTAGCAAGCGACGCCGCTTGGGCAAAGTGTCTATGGTAGGAGTCGGCCACTGGCTCGCCATCAACTCTTAAGCCCAAGAGCATCCGTTGGCTTTGAAGGCTTGGGCTACATAGGCTCAGGGTCCAAATGCTTCCGATTCAAATGGTTAGTTTTCGGATTGTGATTTCTCGAAGCCAGGCGTCACTTGCTTGCCGTGTTCTTTGCAGCACTCCACCATATGGTGCAGTGCCACATCCACTCCACACTGCTCGGACTCGGGCGCCAGGAAGGAGGCAATCTGCCGCCAAATCCTTGGAAGAAGCAACTTACAGTCACATCGCGTTGTGTACTTGTGCTTGCTTACTTCAACCCTAAGCCCGAGGCTTCATTCGTAAAGTTGCTTAAAGTTTAAAGCTGTCTACCAGCTACGAGTACCTGGAGTCACCTCGCACATCTTTGAGCTATCTGCGAGATCTAAGACCGAGGAATCCCCGTTTCGTTGTGGCTCAGGACTCAGAAGAAAAAAGGCATTTTCGATGCTGCTGTACTACGCAACGGGTCTCACATTCAACTTGGTCATACCTACCCCAGTACCGAGGAAGAGTCGAGTGTCAGTTCTGCGGTCTCGGGCTTCACGCGCAACTTAGCCAAGGCAGACTGCCCGCGCCAGCTGGGACACCTCGAGGCCTCTCGCAAGGCAGCCGCCAGCTGATTCTTCCAGCTCAGTGGGCACCTGGGGGGGCTCAGGGCGTAACGCATTGTGCTGCGGAAGTTTCGAGCCATTTCGAGCCGCTGGAGCCCCAGATGCGCGGGGTCTCGAGCAAGCTTCAGGGCACGGCACAGGATGTCGGGCGTGAGCTGCCGATGAAGCCACAGGCTGGCATGGTTAGAACCTCGGATTTGCATTCGAGCTCTGAGGAAAAAGCAAACGCATGAAAGAAATTGAAGTCCCCGAATGTTATCGAATGTTGCATCATTTCGTACTAACTGCCACTCCAACACTATCAGCTCAACCCACTCTGAACTCAAAATCTTGCCCTCCCGACACCGGGAAGCCCATCTTGAATACGTTGTATGCTTCGCGCAGTACCTGAGGAGACAGTTCGCTCCGAGAGAAAAAGCAGCTTCTCAGGTTTGATTTCAACCCTACATGCCGACTCATCCTCAGTCCTCCTTAAACCGTAAACCCTCTTTGGGAGCAGCTTGCGGACAGCAAGGCTTGGAAACTCCCGCCTTACGCCGCTCGCGCAGGTCATCAAGCCTTGACATCAACGAATCAACAACACAGCTGCCCCAAACTTCAACCAGAGACGACCAACTCCTCGCAAGTCGGGCACTCCGACTGACCACCGCAGGCCTGAGCTCCCGACGCGTGGTTCAAAAGCTTCTCGCCACGATCACGGTAGTCAGCCACGGCGGCGAGGTCATCCTGCGCTGCGACGCACTTGAAACCTCGAGACTCAAGGCAAGGATCCGTGCATTTTCATCCAGCCAGCTCAAACCCTAAGCGCAGGACGCCGCCGCAACTCCGGAATCTGCGAGGCGACATCGTCGCCCTCAGGGGGCCAGAACGAAGCAACAAAAATGGTTTCAGGGGAACTCTCGACGCGAGCTTATGAAAGACTCCAGCTGCACCAGAACTCTTTTGATGCTTGCTGCTGGCGACGATGATGATCATGGTGATGATGGCGATGATCATGATGATGAGCATGATGATGATCATGATTGTAATCACCATGCTAATGATGATCATGATCATGATGAAGATCATTGTGGATGAGCAGGAGGAGGAGGAGGAGGATAAACACGTGGATGTTAAGGATGACGACGAAGATGATTATGGCAGTAAGGATGATGGCGATGAAGACAGTGATGATGAAGCTGGCGGTGGCGAGGAGGACGATGGCTGCGATTAGCATGATTATGATTGTGACAGCGGCAACAGCAGAACCAGCAAAAGGAGCGGTCGTAAAGGGCGGCAATGGCGCTTGCAGTTGTAGCGGCGGCAGGGGCAGCGGCAATGAGAGGGTAGTCATGGCAATAGCAGCAAAGAGGACACAAGGTTGCAGCAGACATGGATGCAAGCGAAGCTGAAGAAGAAGCCGCAGCACGTACATTCGAGCAAACATCACCGTCGGCCATCATCCTCATCGAACATCGTGGTGGTCGGCAAATTCGCCAGCATCAAAAAAAAGCATCATCATCTGCACCACCTTTCTTGTCATCAACATCACCACGATAACCACCAACTCCATCGCCGCCGTCATTACAAACATCATAACCACCGCCAACATCAAAGAGCAAGCAAACAACACAGCCGACGCATCGGCACCAGCTATCATTCCCGCGCTCCGCGACGCTCCCTGACTCTGGCCTGCGCAGCTTCGAAGTCTGTGAGCTCAACGAGATCCCTGTCCAGCCACCTGAAGGAAAAAGGGACAAAACAGTTCCGGAAACGATACAAAGCTGAGAACGGACTGATAAAGACCCCGTTATGCTCCTGTGCTGTCCTGACACTTTCGGAATCTCGGATAATAATACCCGCACAACAGTCTGCAAAGAGTTGTTGGATCCCAGCCTCTGCAGCAAAGGTTCATAGGATGCTTTGCGGGCTTGCATGTGGCACTCCAGAAACACACAGGCTGAGCGAGCCCGTGAAATCGCCACGTAGAGTGTTTTCAGCTCCTGGGCTGACCGAAAGCAGACCCTAGAACCCTAAACCCTAAACCCTAAAACCCTAAACGCTAAACCCTACAAACCCGAAACCGAACGCTTAAGCAAAATTTCAGGTTAGCCTCCGAAACTCGCTGTCACAGGGCTTCCTGTTTCTACTATCACCTCGCGACAAAACCCGATCAAAGGACTCCAGAAACACCCAGCATGCACTTCACTGATTTTATCTGTCAGTACTTACTTTATTACATTTATTCAGTTTAATACGTTATGCTTTACCATATTGGTATTGTGACGTACTTTAGTTGGCCAGAGGGCCGGTATGGCCAGCGCGACATCCCAGAGCCGACGCTTCTCAGCTTCTGCGAGCGCTTGCCCCTCGGCGTTCGCTTGAGCAAGCTGTGTGGAAGCGGACGTGCTGTCAGCAATGTCCCAAACATCATCATTGCAGCCGCTGGAGAAGAAGTCGATCAGGAACCTGGTTCTCACTACGCAGGTACCATGAACCCTGATATGGGGTACAGTAAATCGGAAACGTGAGATGCCTCCCATACTATGGTAACTAGCAGCCGACCTCAGAATCCACAACGCGAGCCCAGGAACACCATGTCAAACTCCAGGCCCTTGGCCTCCGCAGGCGTCAGGCTTGGGACCAAAAATCAAACACCAGTTCAGAAGCTGGAAACTCA